CAGTTTAAAGGGAATGCTCAGCACGATGCTCAAGAGTTTCTACTGTGGCTGCTGGACAGAGTACACGAGGATATAAACACAGTCAACCCCAACTGCAGGCCTGCTATAAAGGTGAGTTTAGATCACTAGCATTGGGGGCATCGTTTGGTGTTTTATTAAAAAACAATGTCTGTAGTCTACCAGTACAGCCTTGAAGTTTAATTGACATGTGGACATTTCCCACTTAATGCTCAGCCATACTGCCCTTTCTGTCTGGACAGCTGAAAACAGTTGTTCCAGTTTTTATTGCAGGGCTGTTTTGTTACGTTGCATTATAACTCACAGGTATTTAAATTATTCTGTCACTCAGCGTATCATGCAAATGAGCTGTGTTCACAGTCTGGTTAAGCAAGGCTTGCCTGGTCTTGTTTCCTCTGTTTTCAGTGGAACTAGTTAACAGAGTAATGAAAAAAAATATGAAGGCTTTCACAATAGCTTATGAACTGGCATGACTTATGACTTATAAATCTGACTAATAAAACCTGTTTGTTCAGCCACCTATTGAAGAAGATGATCAAAGCACAGAGGGGGCATCACCTCCCCTCTCTGCTGGGTCGTTTGTGCAAGAACTGTTTCAGGCTCAGTACAGGTAGGCTTTGTGTCCAGGTAAAGTGCCATGTTTTTCCAGTTTGGCAACATCATCTCTCTGCTATAATAAGGGATTTCTCTCCCCCCAACAGGTCGTCTCTCACTTGCCCACATTGCCAAAAGCAGAGCAACACTTTTGATCCCTTCCTCTGCATCTCATTACCAATCCCTCTGCCACACACGCGGTGAGTTACTCTTGAGCTGCAGCGTGAGGTGTGATCAGTTAACAGTGCTTAGTTGACAGGTTTTTACATGTTCATGAGAAATTATTACTGGTTTTGGAAGTAAAACATGTATTGGTACAATAAGGCTTTTCAAAAAAAAGCTTGCATTATGTTTGTTTTACCTATTTTTCTAAACAAGCGCAATGTTTTTAAGTTCTTCAGATGGATGACACTTTTTATTAAATGGTCAAGTGTGTGTGTGTGTGTGTGTGTTGACAGGTTTATGAGAACCTGAAATATCAAATATCAGTGTGTGTGTGTGGTCACAGAAGGTGGAATATGACCTGGCGGGTTAGAGAAGTGGTGGGGGTTGAGTGTGCAGGAGGTGCTTCAGACAGGTGTGGGAGGAGTGTGCACTTTGGAGTTTCAAACCACAACAACAGTGGGTTCATAGACTGTGGGGGAAAAAAAGTGAAGTAGGGGGGAAATAATGTAACATCTTTACACTATACTACATGAAAAACATGTCTTTAAAGCAGTAGGAACCCAGCCTGTATAGGGTATGTTAAGAGAGTATGTCAGACGTTTTATTGGTGTTAACTGTTTTTGCCAGGCCCCTGTATGTGACTGTGGTGTACCAAGGGAAGTACTCTCACTGTATGAGGATCGGAGTTGCTGTTCCCCTCAACAGCACTGTCTATCGCCTCAGAGATGCTGTGTCACGTGAGACCAAGATCCCAATGGACCAGGTGCTATTCCTGTCCATTATCAGCTCAGGGTCTGATACAGAGAGTCTATGTTACAGTCACACAATGTTAGCTCACTGTTCCTAAAGCCAGCTCTACCTCTGAATGGAACTTTGTCGTAAACCTCAGGTTTTTATGAAGTGGACTGCAACTAACATCTGTTTTCATTATCGATTATTCTGGGCTTTGGGAAACATCAGTGTTTTCCAAAGCCCAAGGTGATGTCCTCATAGGGATGAAACGGTATGAAAATTTCACATCACGATTATAGTGACCAAAATTATCACGGTTATCAGTATTGTCACGGTATTGTAAAAATGTGCCAAAAAAATATTAAAATGTACTGATACACACACTGAAACCATTTGAACAAGTTTTATATTGAAAACTAAAAATACAATTGCCATTTTGTTTACATAAAAAATTAAATAACAACAAATAGCCTACCTTTTGTAAACAAATAAAAATCATCTAATTGTGCATTATGAAGATTTTATATTATATAGGCAATACAATGTCCCGTGGACAATTACATGAAAACAAATAAGTCTTTAGAAGACAGTGATAGTAACTGCAATGAGCCCAAAAACTGACGTAAATACAGAGGAGCCTGTAGCATTTCTAGATATGGTGGTTGGTTGACTAAACAGTGTAACGTGTTATCATGTGCAGTGGACGAATAGACTCTGCCAACACACAACGCACACAGCAACAGAACAACGTGTAGCGTTTTATAAGAGCAGCAACACTGAGAGCTTCAGTTTACACGCTGTTAGCAAGTCAGAGAGACCAAAGCTAAAAGTTAACTCACACTGCGTTCACTGTAAGGTTATTTTCTTCAGTCAAGTTTCCCTCAGCGCTCTCATAAAAACTAAAATACGACCGGACTTCAGAGTGACTAGAAAATCTCCGTAGCGCTGTCTTCCGCCGTGTTGTCATTGACTCAAACAAACCCACGTTGCATTCTGCACTTGCGCGCCTGCTTCTGGGAGACGCTGGACAGTGTTTGCCGTGAGATTATAACAATGTGGTAACCGTACCTGGTTATCATGGTAATTAAAATGTGTACGGTAATAATAACCGTCGGGAATTTTACCATGGTTTACCGTTAAACCAGTAATCGTTTCATCCCTATGTCCTCAAATGTCTTCTTTTGTCCATAACCTCAATATATTCAGTTTACTGTCACAGAAGAGTAAAAAATCCCCAAAATTTTCACATTTGAAAAGCTAAATTTTTTTTAAAGAATTTGGAGAATTTTCTCTTTAAAAAAGGACTAAAGCGAATAATCGATTATCAAAATTGTCAGCGATTAATTCAATAATTGACAACTAATTGATATATCGACCTATTGTTGCCAGTCTACTCAATACACAGTTGGAGAGTAAGCCATTTTTAAACACAGTTGTCCTTAGGGCTCCAACAACTGAGTGCTAACATTAATTTAAGCTGACAGGATGAAAATGCGAGAGGAAATGTAAATGAGGGCTGAAACAGGATATCAAGATGACACTGTTAGTGATAAAAATTTGTTGTCCTCCTTTTTCTCTTTCAGTTTGTTTTGACTGAAATGTACTATGATGGTTTTCATCGTTCATTTTGTGATGACGATGATGATCTTAACATCATTCAAGAGAGCGATTCCATATTTGCCTTTGAGACACCAGAGACCTTCAAACTGGAAAATATACGCACAAAAAGAGGTAAGTCATACTTCATAGGTTCCCTTCTATTAATTTAATGTGGAAAAAAATATGAAGACATGTTTCTGTCTTTCAAAGGAAGTCTGCTGGCAAACCTGAATCATAACAACTTCAAGTATGGGACAGAAATCAGCAGGACTCCGTCATTCATGCAGGGGGCCATGACTCCTTTAACGGCATCACCGAATAAAAACCTAGGACCAGAAAAAATAATCCTTCTGGTGTGTAACAGAGCTTGTAGCGGCCACCAAGGAAAGAGGTATTACACTTAGAATATTTTATGTTCTGTGATGTTTTGTCTTTCCTATGACTGTGTAACACGCTCCTTCCTCATGTTCTTACCGATAATAAAGACGGCAGTCATTTTATCTAAGGCTGAACAATATGCAAAAATGGTAGTAATTGGTTAATGGGCTATTGGTGTTCAAAACTTACTGGAGAAATTGATAACGGCTAACAAAGGGCATTATGTTGATTTAGGTTTGGACTCCCCTTTGTACTGTACATGGAGCGCACTGTGACCTGGGATGCTCTACAGAAAGAAATCCTGAAAAAATGCGTCATCTGTTGAGGCCTGGGGTCTACGTTCAGGTAGGAAGAGGAACAAGCAGTTTGCCTTTATAGATTGAATATACAGTAAATAAGTTGATGCCGTACATCTTAATTGATCAGACGGATGGAAAGGAATATTTGCACTTGAAATATGAGCCTCCAAAAAGAGTAAAATTAGTGTCATTATTGTGAAATTATTAATAATCATCCCTGTTGTTTTTATGATTACTCCTTGTTAGTAAGCCAGACGTACTTGTCTCACAGAAGTATTGACAGTGGCGTCTCTGTTTAGGTTGGACCTTTCAGTCTTCGGGTGGTTGGCGTTGTTGGTATCACCTACCTCCTTCCTCAAGATGAACGACCACTGTGTCACCAAACTGTGGATAGGTCAGTCCTGCTCTCTGTTTTAAACAGTATCTGTTTACCCGCCTAATTAGGACTGTGTTACCACCGAAAATGTATATGCTGGATAATTTTGAATGTTATGTCATTTTGTGATTTTAAAGTTTTGCAATAACACAAATGTGCATACAGTATGTGCTTTCATAAATCTCATGAGATAATGCCTTGCACAGCCATTCATGTTGAAAAGGTGGTTAAAAACAGTCAATTTCAAACAGTTACTAGGCAAATATAATTTGCAAGACCGTTTTCTCAGTATTAATTTAACATTTGCATACAAAGGTAAAGTGTTTAATCTTCTCTCTATATACATGCTCCATGGGTTCAGTTCCTCTCATAGGACTGCTCAGGTGACATGCCCTAACATGATTTTGACTGTTTGTTAAAATGCCGGTTTACCATGTTTGGCTTACCTACATAAGTTTGCAGCAATAAAATCAAAGTCACAATGTTGTTGCTCCATTGAGGTGCATGAATCAAAGTAAAATCAAAGTAGGTTTTGACAGCACTGGGATTGATTACTGTGGTTGATTAATAGGTATTTCTGCTCTTGATCTATGTAAATTGTTTTATTTATTAGTGGTTATGACAGTAAAGCAATGTTAAGTTAATTGTGCGAGATGCGAAGCAACAAACATTCTTGTGTATCAAAAAATGGTATGACAATGCCTCCTCCGAGATGGCCATTTTCTCACGTGTACGAATGGGTATCTTTGATTTTATGATTGATTTGTATTGACAGATACTACTACTCGAATTTATTATCCTTATTGGTTTGGTTCTTTGTCGATACTCTTATCAGTTCTTTTTTCTAAATTACTACCCATCCCCCTAACGGAAATTCCTTCACACTGACCCCATTTTTAAATAGCATGTAATTGCATATGGATTATGCGGCACACAATTCTGCCCAGAAAAAGCTAAATGAAGGGGTATCAAGTCCTGTTTCGTCTGCATCTGCTTAAGTCACTTCATTGGTTTCCCGCTATTATTGTTTCCATTGCAGAGCATACAAGTCCTGTGGACAAGGGGGCCCACCACATGTGAAGATTGTGGTAGAGTGGGACAAAGAGACCAAGGACTAGTGAGTGAAAAAGATTATCTGCCAGAGTTCTGTGGTCTGTTTTGTTTTATCAACAGTGTGTTTGTTCTGCAAAGAATGAAAAGAAGCGAGTTTTTGACACTTGTTTGCCTTGATCTTCATTGGGAACAATATATTGGATTTAAAAAAAAGCTGTACTATTGGTTGCAAACTATGAGACATGCACACAAATTACACTTGATTAAACTGTGGTGTTTATTTGGGAGGGTTACTCATTTTATTGACTTGCCTTGTAGACATGAAGGTGTACTTTATAGTAACTCACTGTAATTTTATTGAAGGCCATTCATCAAAAGGCAGGCTAACAAAGGCTAGCTAAGCTTGTGTATGCGTTTATGTTGAAGGCACTATTGAGATGACAGTATCGGTGTAAAAGTTGCATAAGAAAAATTCTGAATAAATATGCCTTAATCTTGCCCATGACAGAGATAAGATTATACTTAGAGAAAACAGTACCATGTATTAAAAGAAAGTGTGACCTGAAAGTATTTGATGGCCCCAACAGGTCATCCAATCCTTATACCTGTTTCTCAACTTAATGTGAATACTTCTTTGCTTAGACACACACTTAGAGACACACAAAAAAGCTTGCCAGCACATCACTGCAACTTCACGTGTCAGTTACGAACACGGTTTTACAGCTGAAGGCGAGGCAACCTTTCAGTCAAATTGATTTAGACAGTCGCTGCATTGTGCAGTTAAGCAACACCAAATTAACAAGGGCTGTTTTCACAGGATCAACCTATTTTGAGCCCTTGAATGTAGGTGCCTCCTACTATTTTTCCCTAAAGGCTATTCATCACATTATTTGTTAAAAAAATAAACTTGCTTAATCTACTTAGAAATGTGCTTGCTTTGAACAGCTATGGTTTTAAACCAAGTAAACACCAGAGTCTGAAGTTCCGCCTACTCAAGCAACGACACGTCTGCTCTTATTTCCTCACTTGAGCTAATTACCATGTTGTGGTCTGTGGTTAACAGACACACATATACACCCTTTGCTGGTCAAATCGAAGTCACAGCCTCATCAGAAGTCATGTGTTGACGACAAGTTAGTTCATCAGTGGTCCAGCTTGGCAGTCCCTGCAAGACATCGAACAAATACTCTCAAACCAGATACACAACACATGATATCAGAGGATAAATTGGATTACTGCGACGTGTTAAACAATTACATCAACTGTCTTGAAATATTTTACTTATATAGGAACTAGTTTGATCAAAAATCTCAAGGCAGGTCTTATGATCCTCATGTGACTCTGCTGTTGAAAGAATGGACGACTGTGCTTCATGTTCTCACAGTCTGTTTGGACACACTGAGGAGGAGTACATTCCTGATGCTGAGAGCGTGTATCTGCACAGGGAACAACATCATCAGCCGCAGGCCTGCACCCTCGCTCAGTGCTTTCAGCTCTACACTAAGGAGGAGCAGGTAACATTTTAGCCGTGCACATAACCTGTGCACACATGCACAAAATACACACACACACAGTCAATTACTGCACTGTGAGTAGTTTTACATTAGAAAGCAAATCTTAGATTTGCCTTAGCACATGGCAGTGGTAAGTATATTTTGAAGTATTGCCTCACATTTGTCTCCTTCCTACCGTTTTATTATTCTTCTGCTAAATCTCAAATAGCCTTTCACTCTCTGTGGTTTTATTGTGTATTTGACTACTAATGCTATGTTTGGAATAAACTAAAAGTTCTGAGCACAGAACTACAATTTCATTGTGGTTTGACTTGCCTGTGATTGCTCTGGAGGAGAACAGAGAGAAAAACCCAGGGCCTCATCTTGTGCGAGGCCCATTTCATAAGCAGTGTGGTCTGGACTTGCCCTTGATGGCTGCTTTCTGGGCTGTGTGTGTTTCAGCTGGCCCCAGATGATGCCTGGCGCTGTCCCCACTGCAAGCAGCTGCAGCAGGGCCGCATTAAGCTCAGCCTGTGGACGCTGCCGGATGTGCTCATACTGCATCTCAAGAGGTTCAGACAGGTATTTCAGCTCAACCAAACACAGTTCAAATAGAAAATAAAAATGTAATCTGTAATCTACTTTCTGAGTATCTAGAACAAGAATCACTACTGTTTTTATTTAGCATCCAGTTTCTGCTTTTATTTATCTGTATTAGCCCTGCATATCGAAAAGTGTCAAGCATCAAATATCAGGTCAAATTTGTGGCCTTGTTTACTTATTCCCTGACTTCAATTCAATATTTTGTCAATTTTAAACTAATTAATTGTGACAAAGTTCTTGTACTGATTCTCATGTTTAGACAACATTTACCATTTAAGATCTATGGCTTTATTTGTTTATATTTATATTTCTCAAAGTAACATTTAGACAATTTACTGCTTGGAATCGGTTCTGAAATTTGAATGTCATTTCGGCACCAGTATTGAAACATTTAAAATGCTACCCAGCATTATGTTTGGTATTGGTGAGTTTTTGTTTTATTTTCTGGATCTTCAATATAAGAAAGGAGTTGGCTGGCATTCCAAACAACTAACGAAGCATTTTAAAGTCCTCAGTAATGGTTGTAGCTATTTTGTACTGTCCACAAAACCACAAATAAACTCTGCTGTTGGCTGCAACGAGCAGGTAGGCCGGAGTCGTTCATTTCAGGAGTCGTTCCTGAAATGCTGAGTTGTTTGTCTTTGCGTCTGTTTCAGGAGGGAGACCGGAGGGTGAAGATGCAAAACATGGTGAAGTTCCCGCTGATGGGCATGGACATGGCGCCTCATGTGGTTAAAAGAAGCCAGAGCAGCTGGAGTTTACCTTCCCATTGGTCACCATGGAGACGGCCCTACGGACTAGGAAGAAACCCCGATGACTATCTGTATGACCTGTATGCTGTGTGCAACCACCATGGGAACATGCATGGAGGCCACTACACTGGTAATGCTGTAAACAATTGTTCTACTTCAAAGGTTGTATGTGAGAATCAGAATATAGAATTAGACTGTATAGTCATGCGTTCGTCTTCCATTTTGATCTATTTTTCCCTTTGTTTTGCACTCGCAGCCTACTGCAAGAACTCAATTGATGGTCAGTGGTACTGCTTTGATGACAGTGAGGTTTCACCAGTAGCTGATGATGACGTGTGTCAACAGACGGCTTATATACTGTTCTACCAGCGGAGGACAGTTATTCCATCCTGGTCAGCCAACAGCTCTGTTGCTGGTCAGTATTTATGTCTGTCTTAATATCTGCTGTATGTACAATTCCAGTCATGTTGTGATGGAGACTGGTGTGAAAGTGTAGCTTTATTGCAGTAGTTGCAGGAACATAGCCACAAAGGTGTACCACAGTACTATTATGACAGAGGGTGTAGGTTTTTGGTTGAATACTGGAGAGAAATGTGCTGTAATGTGGAGGCATGTTTTGAAGCATGGGAGCAGGACTACTCATTTAATGCTGAACGTGACCAATTTAAACATCTTAATTAGAGTAAAGCCTTTCTCTGGTTTATAGCCATTGTGGTTATAATGTGCATGTCCCTACCACACAAGTCAGACCTTTTTGGGAAATTGTGCTATTTCTGGAGGGAACCAACTACATAATATGCATCACCGTGGCTCTAAACTTTTAAGAGACACTAGAGTTTGTATTGACTTTTACACAGGTTCCACCAGTTCATCCCTGTGTGACCACTGGGTCAACAGGTTACCTGGCAGTAGGCCTGCTAGTTTGGCCTCCGGGGCCTCATCCAGGCGCACCTCTCTGGCATCACTGGCTGAGTCAGTTGAGTTTCCAGCAGAACGCAGTGAAGATGATGGTGAGACCATGTTTATATTTGTCTTAATTTATTTGATCTTACAGGTGTCAGATTGTAATTCTTTGCAGTGCTGCCTTATGTAAATTTTTTTATTACTTGCACATGAACTGTGGCTGTCTGACTCAGAGTTTACATTTCAGGCCATATTTGTAACAGAGGCGCAAACTTTTAAGATGCAAAGCTATGTTCGAATAATGCCATTCGTAACGCCATCCACCGCCTAAATGAGACTAGACTTTTTTAAATTCAGGAGACCACAACCAATATAAAAGAGAATACATTTGGCAAACCATCAGTTACAGATCCAAATGACAAAAGGAAACAGCTTCAAAGAGACATATTTGCTTTCAATGTGTCTCAGTGTATCCAACCTTTTTTAAAATGAGCAACACAAACCTTTGTACAAAGCGCCAAACTCCTTCTACTGACAATGTTTCTGTTGGAAACCAAAGATACCACAAAGTTTTCCCAGCGTTCTCTATAGCCAGGAACTCTCCCACCAACTCCAAAATTCTGTTAATAACTGTTTAAAGAAGGAGAATATTTCAGGGACAAGGCAGCAAGTCTCTTGACACGTGTCACGTATAACTGGGATGAACAAGACGACATGCCTGACAGTTCTGTACTGTGGGAAACCTCACATACCGAGTGAATCCAAATTGAGACAGATGTTGGCCGGACTGCTGTTTGTGGTTAATATAAATGCAGGCTGTGTTGAACACTCCAGAAAACTGGGGTCGGCATAGTCCCCAAATATGTTGGCCAGGCAAACTGGTATTTAACTACAACTTTCACAGATCTCACTATGGAAAATGCTTCCAAATTATGTAATTTATTTTACAGCCAATGTTTTATTACTTACGTGTTTGAGTGCCTACACATTTAAAGCTAGGGCAGGCAACGTTGGAGTATCTGAGTTAGCTAGATTTTGAAAGTATCCAACTGTAAAAATCCCACCCCTTCCCTTCAGGCCTCCCCCAAAACACATTTTGCGTGTGGGTAGGTAAGTAGACAGACAGGCAGGTAGGCCAGCCAGTCGATTGGCCACAGATAACAGATTTTTTTTTTTTTTTTTGTGGATTTGATTTATTGCTTGCTGTTAGGATGTAAAGAGGATTTCAACAAATATGCTTCCCGAAATGAATTGCCTACCCTAGCTTTAAATGTGGCATCAATTCTTACCATAATAGTAGTAATATTTTATTATTAAGTAATGTGTGGGCATTACTTACAAATATATCTACACCCTTTAATTAGTTAACGCTGTTCAGATATCTTTGGCACAAATTGCAAAGTGTAGTTGGTAAATGTACTTTTTCAGCTCCTGAGAGTTCATCAACACATTAACACAAAGCTAACACATATGCGAATAGAAGGCGAAAATCTGAGAGCATTTGTTACAACCGCCAGGTCCAGTTCTGTGGTAGCTGCACAATTTTGAACAGCACAAACACTGCTGTGCATGGTCAATACACTGATGCAGTCAAAGGTGTGAATCAATACAACTATTGTTAATGTTTATATAAAAACAAGATTAAGACCTGTATGTGCATGATTTTGCGGCTTTATGTTATCTAAATTTCTTTATTAAATGTTTCCTTGTTTTTAGGAGGATTCTCCGTCCGTCCTTTGTGAGGAGCATCCAGCGTCAGAGCTTGTCCTGCAGGTCTTCCATCGCTAGCCCTTTAGCCTTCAGCGACAGTGGGATAAAACCTTCGTGGTCTCTATCTGCAAAGCTGCACATGCGGTCCAACTCGCCATCGCGCTTCTCCCTCGACTCTCGATGTTCTCCTCCTCTAGAGAGGATAGGAGAGGCCTGTGATGACAAAGTTTCGACTTCCTGTTTTGGAAGCTACAGTAGACATGAACGCTACTTTGGCAGCAGGTCTCCCCTGTCGATGATGGAGAGCAACTTGAGTGACCAGGACAACAATAAAAGGTTCCTAGACATGATGTACTGCAGGGCTCCCACTCCAGTCGAAAAGAAAGGCACCAAAAATGAGCCAACTGAAAACAACAACCAGATAACCGCTATTGACCAAAACATTGTACCCACCCAAGCTACTCCCTCCAAAGAACAGAAACGTAAGAGCAGTATCGGAGGATTTGCATCCAAGGCAGAAAGCACAGGCTCAACAAAGAGTTCCAGCAAAGCGGAGCAAGAGAAAACCTCCAAAAAACGTTTGTGCTCCACCCTTAAGACTGCCGCTTCTGAGACATCTTCCAGTACACCTGTGAAGGGCAAAAAGATGCAATACTAAAGAAAAGAGTGTAAATACCAAGAAAAGCACCTCTACACCCAGTGGAACTCCTTCTAAAACAAAGGACAACTCGACCTCTAGAGGCAACGCCACAACACAAGCCATGCGTTCGCTCCACACCTCAGTCCTCAGCTTCTCCCTCGCCAACTGCAAAGAAGATTTCCAGTGCCACTGAGAAAAGCTCTGCGAATAGTCGGAAAAAGCTGATAGAAAGGAGCTACAGCAGAGATTCTATGCACACTAGCCCCCTGGTAGACAATCTCCGAGGCAGCTTGGTAGCCCGCTCTTCACTGCCAAAGAGTGGGGAAAGCAACCGGCCTGAGAGGAGATTTGTGAGGAGCTCTAGCAGCAGCTCTTCTGTCACTAGTCTGCGCTCACCCAGCGTATCCACCAGAGACCTGCAGCGCAGCAGCAAACCGGAGGAAAAAGCGTTGTCGTTCTTCAAGAGTGCCCTGCGACAAAGGGAAAGCCGCAGGTCGGCCGATTTAGGAAAGAGCAGCATGCTTGCAAAAAAGGCCTCAGAGAGGACATGCAAGCAGAATGGACAAGCCAAGGACATTGGTGGAGATAATGGAAAGACAGGAGGCGCTGTATCTTCACAGAAATCTGTAGAGACTCATGGAGGTGAGACAAAGTCAGAGACAAAGGCGTCTTCCAAGCCCCCCAGCTCTCTCAGTCGTACTCTGTTAAACGTTGGAAAATCCAAGTCTTCCACTTCTGAAGTAAGTCTCAAGTCTCCCACAAACGGGAAGAAGCCTCTTGAAAGGATGGCTTCCTCCCGAAAGCTGTCATCAAGCATGCAATCTCCTGCACGTACAACACAGAGGCCTCAATGATATATCGATAGTAGTTAACGTTGAACTTACATAATGCAGCTATTTTCTTTGTGCCTAAGTTTCAGTGAACATCAGATAGATTTGTAAATAGACATTTTTTGACATTATGGTTTTGTGCACTAGCATCAGATGCATATACTGGCTTTGAGGTTTGAATATCAGCAGCTAGTTTTGAGGATAAATTATAATATATAAATAATATATTTCACATCACCTGCATATTTGGGTTTCAAACACTCGCATGGTATGATGCCAGTTCTTCATTTTTTTAAATACTGTTTCCAATTACACCTTTAAGCATTAGGTATGATTTTGATGCAAGTGAGAAAATGGAGTGAAGGCTGATCGGTTGACACAAAATGTGTAGATGTTTTCTGGCATGGGGGATACATGGGTAGGCCATATCCATTCAGCTGTACAACACAACATATTTGATTGTGTGTACTGGAGGTGTATGACAGCTGACAGAATTCCCTACTGGAATCTTGAAATCCAATTATCTTCACTTCAAACAAGAGGTTTTTACATCTTTGCATGTTGGGAACATTAAGTTTAGTTTGCTTGCAAAATGTAATGCTGGCCAAACCTTTTCACTCATTTTGCAGCTTATACATTAAAATAAATTAAGGGGCTAAGAAACATTTCACCTTATACACACCAATAATACATAATATATCCTATAGACTGACATTCTGAATTGATTTAGACACACATTCTTGGAATTAAGATAGAAATAAGCTGGCTGTTGATTCTTAAACCTCCTGTTCTATAAGCATTTTGAATGCAACAGCAGTGAGAACAGAACCTTAACATCAAAAATGGTCTCTGGACAAATATGAGGCTGAGTTGGTATGCTCACAAACACACGCACACCACATACATAAGAATTTCATTCCGAAAGAATTGTGGCTAAGCATTCGTAGAAATTTGTATTGATTGTTTTAAGTAAAACCTGCAATCTGTTCCAAACACTTTCTCCATACACCTCGTGCATTGGTTAATAGAGGTAGTGAGTGTTTTGTTTTTTTTTTCGGGGAGGAAAAATGAATGTACTGACAAGTAATGTCTGGATAGTATCAAGGATTATGTAGCTGAAAAAATAAGAGATATTCTAAACATTACATTCTAAACAAACTAAACATTAAACAATAGAAATACAGAGGTGACGGTAGGCCCTGTACCAAAACCTAAAATGATTGAGATAAGAAAGAATCGGTACCACATTGAGAAAAGTTTTCCAATATTTTAAAACTTTATTTTTGTTTAATACTAGTAATGTTTTGATAGAAATGTATTTTCAAATGCTTATTGAAATTTTTTTTTCTGAAAGGGACCGTGTGTTTTGGCATGAAACCCTTTAAAATCAAAGTATATAAATACATATATGTGTGTCTGTATAGTATACAGAATATGTCCCATTTTTTCCTTTCCATGAGCAAGATAAAATTATCTTAAGCGCCTTTCAATACTGTACATGGAAACAAGTTATTGCTTTTGGCAACATTGTAGTCTACTACGTATGCACCACTGAGTAGGAATGTTGTATTGTTCGCACTTTGTATAGATAAAGTAGTTTTCTTTTACCAGAGCAGTCATATATACATATATAAGACACACACACACACCCACACACACCACCACACACACACCACACACCACACACACACACACTCTAATTTAACAATGTAATTAACCTTTCTTTATATGTTTGTTCATGATTTCAGGACATATCGTAAAGTAATTTATAAAGTCATTCATCTCAATGTTTCAGGGGTCACCCCTTTCATACACCTGGTGCTGTAACAGACCAATGCTCCTCTGGCACTGATATATCTTAAATGAGCATATTTTCAAATGCTGATGTTCAAACTGTGAGCCACACACTTCAGTGAACCAGAAACCCTGTTGGCAGCATATATCATAACCTGTGGTACCTCATTGGACAGTAGACAGTACTTTTTTAATTCATTAGTACATTATTTCTTCATTTGGCTGAAGCAGAATATTGACAATGAGCCGTTTAATTAAGCATAGAACTACATTAATGTTGTCTGAGCACATGTTGGCCAAATATGGATATATAGGCTGAACTATCAGACACAGTGTAGAATGTTTCATTTGCAGTAAAATGATAGCAGTAAAGGCAGGATATTGTCATGCAGCTGTCATGAAGAACAATCATCGTTATCGTTGTAGAATTACCCCACCTGCAATTGCAATATTCATACACTAGATACCAGCATATTGTATGTTTTTAAATGAATGAATGTGGTTATGCCATTGAAATCCAATTATTAGTAACTAGTTTTACTTTAAACATTAACATAATTTTTGAATTATAGATCTATAGTATTTCTCTCTGCTGTTTCTCTGTAGCATCTACCAGGTTTACATTGGTTCTCAGATGGTTTCAGAGGAAACACCACTCAATTTATAGATAATGTTTTTAAATGGCCTGTGCGGTGTTTGAGCAAATCTGCGCTTTAATGTGCCTGGCTTCAAATGTCTGACAATAGTTTTGGTGAGAGAGGTTTGCTTTTGGAATAACCTGTGTTTTACAAAAAGTA